GTGTGATACTACACTGCCCTCGCTATAGCGCCATGCAGTTTTTACGGACAGCCGCCCACTAGCACATCTTAGTTTCCCAATTTTAAAGTCAATGAGTGTAGGGAACTCATTTTCTTGGATGCATCAACGGTTTTTCGCATTGACGAATGAATGGACAAACCCAAGCTATAACAGAAATTCAGAGACAAATAGCTAAAGCAGTGAATGGTAATGTGTTGGAATATTGGTAGCTCGGGTGTATTGGTTGGTAATTGATCAGGTGGCTGTTGATCTGTTCGCCGAGCTTGGCAATTGATTTGCAAACGTTTCGTCACTGTTCGAGGAAACACCTTCAGTGCACTGATGGTTAGGTAGTTCCTCTCTTCGTGCCTCCGTTTATATAGTCCACAAACAGCGGCCTATGCGCTGTAACCTGGATCCTGATTGGTCCGTTCTTGATCAGTATTGCGTCGTGGTCGGCTTCTCTGTTGGTTTGTGGCGTGCCTCCTATTTTTAGTAGTTTGTTGTTCTATTGATTTCTCCTCAGAGGCTGGTAGGCAGGATCAGTCTCAACGAGCCTGTTCATTGCTCCATCAGTGGAGTACCACGCCTCCATAAACTCGCGTTCTTTCTTTGTTCTTGCCTGGCCCAGTATTCTGACGTTATTCCAATCGAGATGGTGTCCTTCCCCATCTTCGTGTGCAGAGATCAGAGAGAGTTGGTCATGTCTCCTGGTGGCGAGTTTGTGCTCGGTGATTCTGGTTGAGTTTCCTCCCTGTTTTTCCCACGTACTGTTTTTCACAATTTTTGCATTGAATTTTGTAGATTACATTTGTCTTTTCCATCGCATTGAGTGTCCCCTTTGGTTTTGATAGTACTCTTCGCAGCGTGTCAGTCGGTCTGTGGGCCACTTTTATGGCATGCTGTTGTAATATCCTGGCGGTCATCTCCGAAATGTTTTTGATATATGGTAATGTGATTGTTTTGCTTGTGTTTCTGGTTGTCGCGTTGGTTGAATTGCATTTTCTCAGAGATCTCCAGACGAAATTCCTTGGGTAACCGTTCCTTTGAAAGATTCTGTATAGGCGTTTCTCTTCTTTTACTTTAGATTCTACTGTGTTGCAGTGTGTTTCAATTCGCTTGAATAGTGTCCGGATGCAGCTCTCTTTGTGGCAGTTTGGGTGGTTGCTGTGGTAGCTCAGAATTTGATCCGTGTGCGTAGCTTTTCTGTAGACTTCCGTTTGCATTTGTCCGTTCGGCAACCTTGTGACGAGGACATCTAAAACCGCCAGTTTGTTGTTGTTTTCTTCTTCCATCGTGAACTTGATGTCATCGGAGACACTGTTTATCAATTGGATTGCTCGTTGTAGTTCTCTCTTCTTGATGATGACAAAAGTGTCGTCTACATAACGTACCCAAAGCTTCGGGTTGATGTCCGGCAACACGGTCCTCTCCAGTTTTTGCATTGCGATCTCGGCGATGAACCCTGAAATTGGGGAACCCATTGGTGCTCCTTTCAATTGTTCGTAGTATTCACCGTTGAATTCGAAGTACGTGGTCAAACAGAGGCTGAGCAATTCACATATGTCTTCCTTCCTTAGAGGTCCACTGGGAGGTCCATGACTGTCCAGTAGTTCAGCGACTGTTGTCTTTGCCGAGTGAAGGTCCACTGATGTGAACAGTGAGCTGACATCAAATGAGACCATTGTTTCGTCCTCTTCTATTGTCACATTCTTTAGTTTATCCAAGAACTGTTGTGCGTTTTTGATTGAGTGTTGCGATTTATTGATGAGATACTTGATCTTTCTCCATAGTTTCTTTGCAAGGCTGTAGGTTGGTGTGTCTGGGAGTGACACAATTGGCCTTAGTGGTGTAGTCTGCTTGCGTACATTCGGGAGTCCGTAGAAGCGTGGGGTATTGGATACACACACGAATACACACAGTGAATAGCGCTCGGTTAATAAGAGTAGCGTTTGCTCTTGGTTAGTCTCTTGATAGCTTGTTCAATCGAGCGATGGAGAGAAGCGTTTTTGCGCGCGCAAAGTGCGACTCAGTAGTATCATAGTAATCGATTTGGCCGCATTTAGCGTCAAAAGTCAAACTTTCATCAATCAGTTGTTTGGAACCCGACTGATGATACTAACTGACTGAGTCAGGATTGTATTTGTCACATTGTTTGGGCTTGCACTGTAGCTTTTTTATTATTGTCATGCAACCGATATATTTTGTTGACCATTTCTAAACAAATAAGCGGGATTCCACGGATAATTCGAGGATAGACAGGTCATTTTGAAATTCATAGCGGACATTGATGAATTGTGAAACAAAGGATTTGGCTCAGCAGTATTGGGGATTCTTCTGTTTTATCCGACTTGCAATGTAATCCGAACCAGTGTACCTCTTGAAGTGTTGTTCATGGTGAACTGTTTTTCTTCATTTGTATGGTTTCTTATGTTGCGAATCGTTCGTAACAATGCTCAAGGGATAACAGTCCTGTTCCAAAGAATTTTTTGTAGTTATATTCGTTACAGATAAACAGAATATCAGATGAGGAGACCTCTTGAGCTCTATTCGCTAGACATCCTTCATATGAGATATCACCCAATCTGTTGGAGCTGGTTCATGGCCAGTCCCTGTCGACCTTTGTAGATTTTTCATCGTAAAGTGCCATTAGTTTTCTTTTGAAGTGCCGCACTTCGAAAAAGAAAGCCGTTTGCAGACTTTTATTCTGCAGCAAATCTTCAGACAGTTGGATCTGCGCTGCTGAATTGTTGGAGGCAACTGTCTGCGACCATCTTGAAGTTAGTACCTTCAGATCATCTGCTTTCACCGATAAAGCCAAAGATAACTGAGTCGGACCGAGATAGAACTGTTTAGTTGCACTCATGGTGCCAGCTAAGAGAAATCCACTTGGTGAATCCAAAGCGATTCCATCCTACTTCCCGTAAGATGTGGTTGGAATGTGCTTGAAATGGTGGACCCAACTCCATCACGTCTTCACTTGTCTTGCCTTAACTTGTTTCGGGATCATGGACCTCGACCGATTTCACATTAAATAGCAAGTAAAATGATATCATGGTCTTCAGGTGAGACGTTTTGCCACACTGTCTCCCGACTACATGCTGTATCGCAGACCTGACATGCTTCTTGATCATTTAGTGGAGGGGTTACCTGAACCAAACGCATAAATTGCAAAACTGCGTGCCGATTTGTCCCTTTAAAGTGTCTTTCACATAGAGGATTATTTTAAAATGGAAAAGTAGGGGGACCTGGAGACTGTTTCACTGGTACTGCCTCTGTGTCTTTCAATAGAGGATTATTTTAAAATGGAAAAGTAGGGGGACCTGGAGACTGTTTCACTGGTACTGCCTCTAACAAGTCATCCCGTTGGTACGAAGGCATTCTCAGATAAGGATGCGCCTTTGCTAGTCCAGTAAGTGGTCCTCAAATTAATAAGGACCAAGAATTTCGACCCAGTTAACAAGCCAAGTGATCGTCTCATTTGTCTTTGCTCAGAAAACACACTACTCTAAATGGCCCATACGTCTCTAGTTTCTCCTATTTGATGGCGTCAGCTTTAGAGACGGACCAACCTGGTATTGATTGTATTACATATTAATCTTGAAAGGAACTTCAGAGGGATAACTAAGAGTGACCTCTTTTGTGGGATGATCTTCCTAAAGAAATATAGTTGTACCGTTCGTGTACCATCCAGCCACCGTGGGAACAATTTTACCCATCATACGGAAAGTACTGAAGCTCGGTGACAAAACTTCCCATCCTGGTTTTTGATAGAATGAGGCTCTGAACGGAAAGTGCCAGACAGTCTTTTGGAGAGAAGCGCCTTATTTCCCAGACCTACCGGATTGCACGTGAGCAGAGTGACTTATTTTTAGTGGGGTAGGGAACCCGCAGGAGCAACTGCCGTACCTTGCACGTTGCTTAAAATGTCAGCTCATGGTCTGGTTGCCTCTTACTTTGTGAAATAACGTCATCAGATTTTCAAACACGACTAGTCTGATTAGCCCGCAGATTGTAACCAGACACTCGACGTGGAATTATGGATAACTCTGAGTCTTCCAGTTAATTTTCAAGTTGTAACAATAGATTCAAAAAGAAAACTATCACAACAATCCCGTGGGTCTATTAGATGAAGGATCCCCTACTGAAGCAGCTAATCGAAATCAGATAATGTGACGCGAAATGCAAGATTTCAGAGGTGATTGGTACTATATGCATTGTTCGAGTTGATCAGACGTCCGTAAATGCCAGCTGAATAACTTCTGTTTCGAACAGCCCTGAACGTTAGTCAAATGAGCAATACAGAAAATTCTTGGTGTCGCCAAATTGGTGCGCAGGTTTACCATATTTTCCTACAAATTCCAGATTCAAAAATAAACCAAGCCACAAGATCAGTAAATTAAAACATTTGAAAGGAGCGGCAAAATTCAAAAGGTTAAATTGGTGCGCAGGTTTACCATATTTGTCCTACAAATCACGGATTCAAAAATAAACCAAACCATATGATCAGTAAATTAAAATATTTGAAAGGAGCGGCAAAATTCAAAAGGTTAAAACGCAGTAGGAGGGTGAACCACCCGCGATACAGTTTGTCAGAAACTGAGGCCGTATTGCGTCATGACGAGTGGGACTGGCAAAGGATGTTCATTTAAACTGTTGCTCTCAAAACAGGTGTGGGAGGAATAGGTTTGTCCTTATTTTTGCGAACATACAACCGTCGGTGAAAGTTTACAACACTGATGGGATTAATTGCAGGTGATTGCGGAACTTGTAGGATCCCGGTTCACGTCACTGCTGATAAACTCTAATCAGAGCGATAATCGAGTCAGTTCACTGCTTTCTCCTCTGGTCTGGGCACACCAGAATAATTGGAGTACGTCTGTTCAAACGAGAGTGATGTGAACGTGAAAAATAAGGTTGTTTTAACTACTAGAAATTCGCACAGATCATACTGGATGAACAAGGCTCTCTTTAGGCCATTGCTCATGTGATTAGTAAATCGTAGTTTATATGACGAATAGAAACTTGGTGCAATGGAACGTCCACAATGAAGGTAACTGGAGGTAGAAGTTCAATGCGTCAGAAAAGGTAGGTCATTATCGAAGCACATTGGGGTGAGAGAATGATTGTAGGCTAGTAAAAGTTTAAAGTTTCCACAAACTGCTTTTGAATGCGAAGGTTAGTATTCGCTCTCTCCTGTGCTGGCGAAGTGGCTATTAGATATGAGCTGTCAGTCTACAAACTCAAGGATATCCTTCACTTTTTCATCCAATTTAAGCACTTTGATCCGTGTAACATGAATGTTCTCTAAATCGGCGTTAACTGACTAGTTGAGAATGTGCCATCGAAGGGAATACTAGATTTTCTTTGTGCTTTCTTTAAATGTGGTGGCAGAGGTGTTGGTATGATGACCTCAAAGCCTAGTCAGCTCTTGTCGCCGTACACGCGAAACGTTCATATCTGATTTAACATCGAAATTTATCAAAGGACAGATTACCTAAGAGGTTCTATTCTGGCGCATTTGTTATGAGTAAATTAGACGGCAATACACTTTAACCAGCCGCTGTTTGGTTAGTTTTTTACCGTCTATATATATTTATATTAAAACTAATTGTGTGGACCTGAATGATTTTCAGATCAACTCAAAAAATGCAAGCTTCTCCATGAACACCTACATAGACGAAAGTTATGTAGAAACGGTTAAGCAAAGCGTGTCAAGTAGACACACATAGAGTGCTCAGTTCATGAGCTAAAAGAGCTCGTGACTGAAAATAAATCGTCGACAATAGACGTCACCCTGAAAGAGCAACGGAGACCTTTCCAGACAAGTGTGTACAACGAGAACTAGAGCTTTCGAGGCGAGTATTCACTCAGAACGACATAATTTGTAAAGAGAAGGCGGACATTGCACCTAATATCCAAGAAAGAGTCCAGGTTCATCATTGACGTAGGAGAAAACAATCGTTGAGCTCATTTCTAGAATGCTAAAGAATCGCATAGAGCGTAGATTAATGGTGTCTCAATCTTGTTCGAGTATCAGTCCTCCCCTCAGAATCAACAAGTGGCTGAAAGACAAATTGCAGACCATCACCACAAGTCTGGCATATAATCGTTCATATTGATCGTGTCAAGTATCCTGCTTTTCTCCTACAACGAAGCGTTCGTCTGACGCATTGGGCAAAGACCGCAGCGACTTGCTGGAACGTTGAAAAACGTGGATCCATATCATAGGCATCATCATTTTGTATCTAACCGGAACTGCTCACATAATAGAATATTCTGCATGGTATATAGGATGCCTATCAACTGATCTCAGTCTGTGAGAATCCATGCATTCAAAAACATTTCGTGAAAATTTGAACTTGTGCTGGCCCACTGTCAGTCCCCCAACCAAGTGTGCTTCTAACAATGGCCTGACTCGCGTGACACATTGGAATTCGGCCTCTAGTTTCATTCTTTGCGGATGCTGTATATTGCAATGTTTGTATTTGTCATATAAATTACGATTTATTAATCACATGACAGGTCGTAGAAAGCAGCTCTTGATTGCTGCTCCTCGACTTCCAATATTCGGTTTCTTGGACCTGCCTCGCACACAGATGTGCGCGGATTTTGTGTGTATTGCTTCACTGACGTGTAGATATGAGACGAATTTGCGTGTCAATTTCAAAGAGTTGTCGGAATGAACGTTGTATTTAGTTCTCACTTGCAGGCGTTGATTGATATGTAAGATGTTTAATGACATGATCAAGACACCTCTTATAGGCGCAATACACTACCCATAAGGTGTCTGAAAACTTTTCGACACTATAAACAAGGGAT